GAAGATTCATTAAAAATATTTCGTACTCCGAAGCGTTCGGAGTTTACCGGTGTTCAAAAGCTTTTCCCGTTGTGTTTTCTCTTTTCGTGAGAAACAACAAGGGCGCCAGCAACTGACAAACTGAGGCTTGACAGACACGAAATAATGAAAAGGAAACATTTACCGTATTGGACTGCACTGCGATACAGTTTAGTCTTTCGCCTTCTTACTTCTTGTCATCAAACTTTTCCGATAGAATACACCAGTTTCCTTAAATCGACTTACCGCTTTACAGTAAAAGTATATTTTGTGTTGTACCTGTAATTTCGCTTTCAATTTTAAATTACAGCAATCAGTGTACTTTAAAACAATTCGAAGATTCATTGAAAATATTTCATACCCTGAAGCGTTCGGAGTTTACCGGTGTTTAAAAGCTTTTCCCGTTGTGTTTTTTCTTTTAGTTTCATTTGCCGACATTGCACAAAAACTGGATCCTACTGAACTAAAATGCTGTACAAAAATGACATTGTACAGTAGGCTAAATGAACATGTCTTTCTTTTGAAAGTTTTGCAAACTCTTGAAAATTGTGTAGGTTAGGTAGACTGACAAATTAAACCTTTGCCCTTTTAGAATTCACCCATACCGTAAATCCTCAAATTAGTGCCCCCCACCCCTCGAATAAGTGCCCCCTTCAAATAAGCACCCCTTCTATCCAACGAAATTTAAAACAAGCCCCCCCCTTCAAATAAGCGCCCCCCTCCCCACCACCCAATTTGTGGACAAGTAATGAGACAACAAAGGATGTATAGTTTTCGTCATTTAGTATTAGATTTGTACATTGTTTCAGTTTGTGAACTTGTTGAACATGCTAAGTACTAACAGTGCCACAATTTAAACTTTAGAATCAGCTTTTTATGTCAGTAATAAACAGCTTATGTTGGTGTTTACGCACAGATGATGTATTTAAAAAAAATGATCAATGTCAGGCCATGATTTGGGAAAAAATAAATACGCGCCCCCCTCGAATAAGCACCCCCTGTCTTACCCTAAATTTGAAATTAGCGCCTGGGCGCTAATTCGAAGATTTACGGTAATCCAACCTTTCCATACTGTGTAAGGTAAAACTACCTATGGTCCAAGACACAAGTAAATTTTGGCATACATGTAGATAAATATTTTAATTGATGGTGAATACATGAAAAGAAATCCATTGATGTCGAAGAAATCCCAGGATTTAAAGTAATCAAAGACTTATATCACATAAAGCTCAATGCAACAACCATTCTACAACCAGCTGCACTTAAATGGCAGACTTGCATAAGCCAGGAATAAATAATTTACTAACTTAAGAAACATTTGAATGCGAATAATAGAGCCAAGGTTACAAAAAATATATATATCTCAATGTCGCAGAACAACTGAACTACAGTAACATTGAAAAGAGTGATCAAAAGTTAGTTTTTCTATAACACAAAATCACTAAAAGAAATTTTCAAGTCAGGTCTTAGCTTTGGCAAGCCCTTCCCAAAACTGCAATTCCCATCTATTCACTTTCTGCTTCTAGAAAACCAAAACAAGCTCAACCCAGATTTTCAGTTAAAATCACTATTTTCAGGGAAGCATGTGAATAAAATGATAACTGCAGGTTTAGGCCTTCTGAAAAATCTTCAATGAGGGCAAATAAATGAAAAAACTAACTATTGTTGTTTAACTTTCTTCTTTTGGTCTGCCAGATTGACACGAATATTCAAAATGACAACAAAAGTTTGTGGCTCTCAACGTTTTAGCTTGCCGTTTAATTAGAGAGTAACTGAAAAAGGTAATCTTTGCAGATTGTGTTGGAAAAGTTTCCTTTAAAACAATGGCACAACTTTAAAAGTAATAACGATTAACGAAGTTAACCTTGACTTGACGCGAGCGAGCGAAACCGGCCGGCGAACTAAAAGTTCTTACATAATGACGTACGCGAACTCACCGTCAACTCTTACGCCAACATACACTTTAACAAGTCCCAGCTTGACAAG